TCGATCAATATATGTTATTATTTTGTAGCTTATATAAAACTAACACCATAGAATTGGATGCAGTGATTGTTTTTATTTTTATTTTTGCTTACAAGATTGGTACATATGGTTAGAGAATTCGATGGAGATGTCAGGGTGGATTCGACTCAAGGATTATTAACCAAATGATGATAATTTAACTAGTGGTTTTAGATCAGACGTCGATTTTGGCTATATTTTTTCTTTAAGCTTTTATGGAACTTATATGCAAGATGCTCATATTCTGCAATCGCCAGTCACCACACTTTACAAAAAATAGCTATATTGATTTGCAACGGCATCCATCAATAATTTTTTTTACATGTATAACATGTATTAGTTTTAAACATAACGGCAATCTATATGTAGTTTATAAATAAAGTATGGCTACCATTTTGCATAATTGTAGAAGGGTAGTATTCTGGATTGGCTGGCTGTGGGAAACATGTTGGTCAATTAAGATAAGATATGCTTTTCTTCATTCAAATATTTGGTAATTATCATTAAATCATATATAGCTAATTATGTGATCCTATGTGTGACTTTTTTCTGAGTGCAAACATAATATAATTAATAAAGATGGAAAAAGTTTGGTTCCACAAGTTCCTCTTCCTTCAACTATCAATTATTTCACTATCCAGTCCACAATTGATAGAATAACAACTTTATCTGATATCTATGGACTATTTTATTTATAATATATATTTTTATTGGTTTAGCTTCAAATCTTGTAGTTAAAAAATCAAAATTCTATCAACTTAATGATATAATTTCCTTTCTGAAAATTCAGTTTGATGATATTTCTAGTGATAATCCTAACTAATTTGATACAAATATTACTATGATTCGATAGTTGTTTAGAAACTCGGCTTCGGTCTATTAACCTTCAAACCAAACTAGTGCTATCATATGCAATCGTGAATAAAATCTATAAATTATCTTAATTGCGAGATATTTTGAATTTGAATATATTAATTATAAATGCTTTTTGTTAGTTGAGCCAAAGTATGAAATATGAAGTCTATATACAGTAGTTCTTACAAAGGTTTTTTTCTTTCTGAACTCTAATTTAAACACAGGAATTATAATGTTTGTTTAATGTTTAAATTTGAGATGCTTTGGATTTGTTATGAAACGGTATGGATTGTGGACTTAATATTGGAAGATAATGATGACAAATCGAATAGTAAAACGAAAAGTCAACCAAGTTGCGAAGTAGTGGAACTATGTGGTGGGATATATTAACCAACTTACAATACATCAATCAACATACGATAATCCATGTCTTTGTTACGTAACTGTGACTCCATATATGACAATACCTCTCTTTTTCGATGACATCATCATGGACCTGTCGGTCGATTTTACAAGACGTCGACTCTTCTTTGTTTTTGTTTACTTAATCTCTCTTTCAATTATATATTCTCGAATTTATATCACATTACAAACTTTTGTTGATCTCCCATTTACAAATGTAAAACAGTGACAGAATTAGAGGTGAAAACGTTGACTCGCTGATCTTGTTTATCTTCCTACTGTAGTAGATTTTTTGTTATAAAAAAATAATATTAATTTGGTTATATCTGTCAGTGTAAAGTTCTCAGGTAAATTGAGAAATGAATTCGAAATCGAGGCACATCCGTTCAACAACCTTTGCATAATTGCATCACTAATTTAACAAGCAAGTGCATTTGGTTTGAACATTTTGACTATCATGTATGTATGTATATATGAACCATCTTTTTGTTAAATAAATCTTAAACATAAAAATATAAAAGTATTATTTATATGGCTAGAATAATTCTGCTGTCAGAAAAACAAAGAAAGACACAACACACACACGTAAATACGAAGGTCAAACCTTTGACTAATAGATTGGCCGCCGAATGTAACATGAACCGTATAATACACTTGATGTCAGACGAGATCTAAAAGATAGACAGGACAAAAGTATGATGGAACAAGACTTCAACCATTTGTCGGATAACTACAAAGGGGTTGAACAGAAAATTAAAAAGGCCATTCTGTAAATTAAAAAAAAAACGGAACCCATTTTATTTCCTGTAAAAAGTCCTATTGGTTTTTGGTATTTTTTTGTTTCTTACCACCAGTCCAATTAGCTTCAAAATACTGAACTATGTTAACGAGTAAATTGATTTTGTTTTGATATACATTGACACATTTATGAAATCGTGTTCATTTCATCGCTAGTTTAAAACACTAACAAATCTCGTATTCAAATACACAAGATATTTAGTCGTTTAGTCACTAAAAGTTGTAGCCAAATATATATGGATAATTCAACAGCTACTACTATAGTCTATCGGCATGATTGAACTGTAAACAACAAAACATATAGTGAAAGTATCCAAATTCTTAGGCATTGTGTGTAAAATCTGAAATAGGTTTATGAGCCCATTTTTTTAAGAAAGCCCATAAACCAAAAGACATTAGTGACGAATATTTCAAAATTGCCCTTATTTACTTGTTATTTCTTTTAGAGCCCTCGGTCTTCATAACTCAAAATCATGACGATAACCAACCAATATTACAACGCCACGTGTCTCCTGACGGTCATTATTCATTGAATCGAAGAAAACCCGCGAGCTCGTTTATCAGACGTATTTGTCACTTTGGTGTTTTTCTTTTGTGTGTGGTTTCCTTTCGAATTTTCTGTGATTACTTGAAATCGTTGTTTCCTTTCGATTGCAATTTATTTTCTCAAATCACTATTTCGATTCTTCAAAACTCAGTGGATCCGATTTTAGGGTTCTCTTCCTCTTAGATTTCGTGTCGATGGCATCGAATCCTCACAGAGGCGGTGCTGGTGGTTCCCTTTACGGCGGCGCTGCTCCGTACAGATCCAGGTATAATAAAATTCTATTACGAATTTCCCCCTTTTTGAAATTGATTCTGATTTGTTCCTCGGATCTTCTGGATAGAGAAAACTAGGGATTCATGTGTCCTTGATTTGTCTGTCAGCCTAGGAGTCCCAACTAATTTGCCTTGGCTTGTGGTTGCAGAGATGGGCTCAGCACTAGAACTGGTGCAGGTTCAGAAGAAATTCAGCTGCGGATTGATCCGATGCACTCTGACCTAGATGATGAGATCACAGGTCTCCATGGCCAAGTTAGGCAATTGAAAAACGTAAGAAACCCTCAAAATCACATTTTTTTTTTCCTCCGTCTTCCTTTTATCGTGATGAATTGTATGTTTGTGGCTCTTTGAGCATTAAGTTGATCATATGGAATAGGGAATTTTGACTTCTTTTTCTCTCTTAGTTGTTGTTATGGCTAGTTTGATGAGGTTACGAGGTGAAGGTCTGTGTCTAAGCAATCGCAAACGACTCTCTATCTCTGTTTCCATTACATGGTTTTGGTATTGTAAAAAGTGTCTGGAGCTTTTTGGTACCTGTTTTGAGATCTAGGTGAATTAATTGTATAGGTGTTTTTTGGTCCACGGTATGATAACGAATATGTTTACTCATAAGTGAGTCTGTGACTTACCAGTTATTGTTTTATACCATGCTTCAAAGAATCAGTCGAAAATTGTCTACAATTCCTTGTGCTTTACCTTAAGTTTGTGCATGATTTTCGTTTTTCTGTTTATACCATGATTATTCCGTTGCTCGCTTATTCTGTTGCAGATTGCACAGGAAATTGGGTCAGAAGCCAAGTTTCAGAGGGACTTCTTAGATGAACTGGTATGCCTTTGATGCCGTTTAAGTCTTTGGTTTATCCATGATAGAAAAGTTCAACGTAAGCACTTTGCATCAGCAACATGCATTCACTCTTCATGGTGTAGAGGAATCACCGATCAAATAGATAGCATATCTGAATATACGTTTCTTTTAAGTCTTTTATGTAGGAATCTATAGATACGACCCAACGCATGTTAAATTACTTTCACCTTAGCTTACAAACCAAATTATGCTCAGACTTATACACAGGGTTTGGTATGTACTCTAGTGTGTGTAGGAATAGATAGATCTTCCATCTCGGCTAATTAGGTGAATGCATGAGGAAATGGGTTCCTTATGCAGGAGAATATGTTGTTGAATGCATACACTGCTTTTACTTGGTTCTAGTTTTTCTTTTGTTACCTCAAGAACATCTTAGCGAAGATATAGGACAGACAACTAAAATTTTGGATGTGTGAGACTGCAGAAACATGTGTTAATTCACTCCAGGACGCAAAGAACATGTGGACCAAATTGCTAATCAATATCTTGCTCTAATAGATCTTTCTTCTTTTGCACATTTAGCTGAAACAATTAAACTTCATTGTTGTTCTTGTCTATTCTCATGACAGCAAATGACATTGATCAGAGCACAAGCGGGCGTGAAGAACAACATACGGAAACTGAACTTGAGCATCATTCGTAGTGGCAACAACCACATCATGCACGTGGTTCTTTTCGCTCTCCTCTGTTTCTTTATCCTCTACATGTGGTCCAAGATGTTCAAAAGATGAGAAAATTATGATGGCGTTTATGTACCCCGTCAAAAGAAACCTTGTAGAAAAAATATCCTCTAGTTACAACATTTGGTGGTTTTTGCGATCCTTGTTATATATAGAGTGCTTGTTTTGAGACAGAGTTACATGAACCGTCCGGTCTAACCGAGCTCACATTTCTAAACCGTCTCAATACTGTTCCAGTCCAAGTATGATGTTCAATCCGGATAAGCCGAACACGAAAATGGGTAGTACCCTTTCTACAACCAAAACACTGTAACCAAACCGAAAATCCAACATTTTAATTTTGTTCCTGGTGTTCTGAAACCGGAAATTTCAGAAACTGAATAAAACGGCTGTTGGGCTTTATGGTTATATAGGCTCATGGGCTGGAATATTCATTCGAGTAGCACGCGGCCTATTATGATTTACTGTGGTAGCGCCCGTAGAGGATAAGCTCTCTTCACTATGTAGAGATTTATTTACCGGAGAAAAAGAAAATGGGAAGGAGATAAGAGAGAAGTAGAGACATTGCAATGGCTTCCTTATCCACCTCTGTTGTAGCTTCGGCTCCGTCGCGTTTATGGCATCCTGCTTCGAACGGGAAAGTCAGCGTTCCTTCCGCTTCGATTTCTCTGCGTGCGGGTTCGAGACGGAGCCCGTTCTCTCTCAGCTCGTCTACTTCCGCCTCCGCTTCTTCTCAGCTGCTCCACTGCTTGTTTCTCTCTTCCTCTCTCTCCCTGTCGTCTACATTCTCTGGTTAGTCTCTTCATTCTCGTTTCAGTGACTTGTTTGTATATAGCTGGTACTGTTGCTTGGTGTTGTAATGTGTATCGAGCTTTCTCCCCAATTTTGATATTATCATTGTTCGCCTGTGGGGTTTTGTTCTAGGATTATCGTTTATACGAGCTTTTGTTGAATTCTATGAAGAATTTGAGAATCCCATTTTGGGTTAGGAAGCTAATAACTTTTCATTGAAGAAATTCTGAAACTCAATTTATCTGGTACTGTTGTTTACTATCCCGTGCAGAAACATTGGCATTTAGCTCATTAGATTCCGCTTGCATCTCACTCTAAGAACGCTTTGAGAGCTCAAACTCAATTTGCTGGCTGTTGGTCTATCGACTTTGTATGTTTATCATCTAGCTCATGGCTAATTTGCGCACCAATTGCTTGAAAGCATCACCAGAAACTTGTCCTCCTCTCTTAATTATACAAACATCTTTATGGTGTCTGTTGATGTGAAGAAGTCAAGTTTGCATTTACTCTTTTTACTCGTCTATTAGAAACTCTAGGGAGTATATCTTAGGGGTATGCATTGAATACATATTCCTCTATGCTTAATCAAAGACTTGAAGATTGGAACAAAAGAATATCTTTCTCGATATTACCAGACCTACTATAATGTTGTACATGCTCCTCTGTCTATTTCAGGCTTGTCCATTGCGTTTGATCTCAGCAGTGGAACTAGTGGAGTGAATGGCCAGAAACGCAGAGGCCTTGTGGTGAGAGCTGGAAAAGCTGCACTGTGTCAAACAAAGAGAAGCAGATCAAGAAAATCTCTGGCTAGGACTCACGGTTTCCGCAGGAGGATGAGAACCACCAGTGGTAGAGCAACCATCAAGCGCCGACGTGCCAAGGGACGTTGGAATCTCTGCCCTAAGTCCAACCCTAGCAGTGGCAAACGGGCTTGAAGGTCTTTCCTCTCATCATTCTCTCTGTAATCTTGTTTGATATGCTTTTTCTTGTTTTCCGCCAAAAGTTACAATGAGAAGAACGATTCGATGAGCTCTTTTCCTATGTTTAACTCTTTAAGCATTCTTGATTCGATATAAATCATTATTGGGATGCATATAGTACTTGCTTCATTGAATTTAAACATAATAGAAGTCTCACTTCAAAGCCAAAACCATTAAAGGCTCATGTGATAGAAGCTAGCTTTTTTAAAATCCACACTTGCCTTAACATTATGTCCTGTGTAAAAAAAAGTTCCATTTACATTCATTATACGCATGGACAATATGTGATATTAGGTCATCCTCTTATAACAATTGATGTTATGTCGCTGCAAGGGACATTTCGGTGAGACCCGTTTAGTCCAGACTGTTAGACAAGTTCGACTTAAGATCCACAATTTGTTAACTAATGGCTGCAAAAATTTGAATATTTAAATACCAAGTTATTAGAACCTTACAGTCATTTTTAAGTACTGATCTTTAACCTAATGAATCAGTTAAACTAAATTAGCTCGAAACTACAGTAAAACATCTATAAATTAATAATGTTGAGACTCTCAAATTTTATTAATTTATAGAGTTACTAATTAATCGATAAATTAATAATTAATAATTTATCGTTAAATTAATATTTTATTAATTTATAGATTATTTTTAGTTTAAATTTTTAATATTTATAAAAAAAATAAAATCAATATTTCCAAAAATGTAAATTCCTTTAAAAAATATCATAATAATGAATTTAGAAGATAGATCAAACAAATTTTATAAACTTAAAGCAACAATATTAGCATATTTTACTATATTATATTATTAATATATACTGAAATATATATAATTATTAATTTATATTATTATTGGGACCATATTTTTATATAGAACTTTCAAAAAAAATATTATCTTATCGAATTTTGTCAATTTTTACATTTAGCCCGACTTGGAACTAGTAAAAATTATTAATTTATCGAGTATTAATTTATAGAAGTTCTACTGTAAAACTACATAGAATTCTTATGGAAAAGAGGGATCAGATGGTGTAAAAAAAAGAGAGCGCCAAATTGTCGTAACAGGCTTTGGGCTGAACGCTCTTCTCGCGTAAAGCGAGTTTATACCATTCCTCATTTGCCCTTTAACTTGCCTGAAGGATCATACTTTCATATACATTTTGTTTTTTATGTATCAAGTGGTGGTAGACATATATATCTCAAATATATGCTATCCGATAGTTATTTTGGAGTCCTAAGCAGATCGGTGTATTTTTTTATATTGGAAACTAGATTTTGGCCAAAAATAACATGAAAACACAAAGACATGCTTGGGTTGGAGATCCCAAACAATAAACTAATGAGAATAAAACACACATAATGTGTCTTTCGAATAACTGTATTAGATTCCCATATTTTAAGCTATAAACGAATATGTTCACAACTAAAACTAAGTTTCCTGCCTATAATTATCTACGAAATCTGGATCTTGGATCATATTTCTGGTCTATCTAAATTTAATTTTCGGATGATCTTTTCCATCTCCCAATACCGACTCACATAGAAAACTTAAGGTGATAAAGCAATACCCAAAAGAAGTTGGATAATCAAAATCGAATTTCTCCGTCATATATATAGAAAACCCTCGTACATTTGTACAAGACTTATCTCCAACTACCTAACTGCAATTAAAACTGATGAAAAGTGCAGCCCGACTTCTGTCATTTAGCCACCAAAATAACAAAACCACAGAAAGAAAGTCGGTTTATGTAACAGGTTGTTGGGGATTCCGACAGGCTAACAAACTTTTCCTTGGGAATCACAATTTGAGAGAAAACAGTTTCTCATAAATTCATACCTTTGCAGGAAATTAGTTTTCATGGTTTAATTATTTAATCTATATTTTTATGCATTGTGTTGATTTTTGACAACACTTGTATTATAGAAATTAAATGTATCTAACACATCATGTGAACCGTCGCCTAATACCAAATCTGACGATATGGTGATGACCCCCAATCATCACCTAAGTGCTGATATCCTCACTGCTCGAGGGAATTGAACCCGTCACCCATGTAGGTCTTACGCAACTGGACTACGCATGATTCTTATCCTTTTCGTACTACGAAACTTATATATATACATATTGTTTTTGATTTTTTTTTATAGATATTGTTTTTGAAATGCTGTACTTAACTAACCAACAAAACGTAGTAAACAACGGAAGATTAATAATTGATATTTATATTCACGGAAAATATAGAATACTCGAAAGATATATCTCTATGATTGAGACCATATGATTCATACATTGTACTCTTTTATAAATTAGGGACACGAAAAATATGTAAAATTGCTTCTTACGTAAGTCATTGATACATTATATGGAGCAATAAAAATGACCATTAGTGCTCAAGATCAAGCTTATGGTATACGATGTAGATTTACACCACATCTAAACAATTCATAAATCAAACTCCCTAATGTATGAGTACTTCGACATAAAACACTGACAAATTTAGTCACGCATACGGAAGAGCAGCAAACTGAGCTATACCACACATGCCTTGAGGCCACTCTACATCTCTACGAAGTCTAATGAAACCATTCTCTCCCCAAGTCTTACCCCAAGAGTTCTTAGCCAGCCAATACCTTATCCCTTCGGGGCTCGTCCCATACCCAACAAGCGTCATTGCATGATTCACGTTGGTCCCACAGTCGGGCGCATTGTACACCCCACTTGAGTAATGGATGAAACTGGCCGCGCTCGCGGCAATGCCTACCGAGACGGGCTGTCTCGATACGGCCTCGAGCAACGCACGCTCGTTGTTATATGGAACCATTTGGAATCCTCTGATCTGCATGGCGGGTTTGATGTTGGACCGGCAACTCCCTTCTTTCACTTGGTAAGGGTATGCTTCTTCTGAAGAAATGCCTCCGCTTTTTGCTATGTAGTTGAAAGCTTCTACGGTTGTTCCCCCCTTGCAACCGTTGTTACGCGCTCTATCACAATCTAGAAGCTGCTGTTCCGACAGTGATACTAGTTTTCCTCGGGAAATCTTTGCAAGACCTTCCACAGCGGCAATAGCTGAGAACGCCCAACAACCACCTGCACATCATATAATGATTACTTCTTTGTTACGACTTACGAAACGGAATCTTGTATTGGTAACCTTAAACCTAGGCTAGAATGATACCCATAAGCTGTCTATCATATATAATTCAGGCAAGCTTACCACATCCTCCTTGCATTTTGGCAGGCGTTACAGCTCCTTCCTTTGTCCAGTCTTTGCTCTGGCTGATAACATTACTAACGTTCCAATTCCAAGATGGCATCGTTTCACCAACCACTTCAGATGGTGAGGTTTCGTTTATGCCATTGAGACCGGTGTGGGTGGCAAGGAACTCCTCTTCTGTCCAATCCGTGAATTCGTTGACACCAAGTTTGTAGCTTTGGTTCCCATTGTTATTGGATTTCTCAATGAATTTCAAGTTTTTCTTGAATACTTCAAGCCTCATCTGTTTCTCGGATTCATCGGTATAAACTCGAGAAATCTGGATCATCCATTGTTGGTGGTAATCAGCAATGGATGACTCGTGAAAAGTGACACGGGACGTGGCTTGAGAGATCTTAAGATCCATGGATATGATACTTAGAACCACGAACACATGCAACACTACGAAGACCATTTTAATTTTTGACGGATAGGATAAATACAAGTAAATGAAAAAATTGATGTTTACACAAAAACCAAAATGGTTATTGGTAGTGTAAACTAAGGGTTTGCTGTGGTGAAGAGGTGAGAATGGAGAGAAAGGGTACTTATAGAATCACGAATGAGAGTTGTTATTTAGGTAGCAGCAATTGCATGCTGACTCTGCTGGGGTGATGTTAGAGTTGTTACTTCTTCTAGATCTTTTGAGGAACAACTTTCCATTATTGTAGGCATATATATAATTGACATATTTTTTATTATTTTAATTTTTTTTTTATGATGATTGGATAGAATATTAGCGAAACAATACTGTATGGTATTAAGTTAGCCTTTTTTATGATGATAGTTATGAAAATTTTGAAAATTATAGATTCCTGTTTTGACTTTTGAGAATAACTGAAAATACAATATTTAATGTGATTTACAATTTCTTTCCATTTTTTTTTCATGTATCATCGTTGTATCTATGTTTTATGTAACATGATTTGCATTGTCTTCATTATTGTACATAGGTGTTGTCGAGAAATCAGTGGTTGTGGTTTTGTTTGTTTGGTCTTTATGTGTATTATTATATAAATATTCTATAAATTCTTTTTATTAAATATTACTCTTATAAATTACATATAATGGTAAGATTTTTTAGCAATATTTTTTCAATTTTATTATATAAAATTGCACACGTCAAAATTAGTAATTTACAAGATCACGACATGTGTCAAATGTTTTTACTAGGATTTTAATATATGTCATGGTAAAAATTATTTCTAAAGAAAAAAGAATTTTTCACAAAAGAAAAAGTTAAAAAATTAAATGCACATTTATCGATTTAGATTAAAAGTAAAGTAAAATTAACTATGATATATTTCAGTTTAATAAAAAAAACAAAAAATATATATTCAATTTGAAAAAAAAAATGCATAGACAAAAAGTAAATATAAAGTTTATTAGGATATATATATATATATATATATATAGCAATTAAGAAAAGAAAATTTTAGATGCTAATAATATGTTATTAAACGATGATGAGTTTCAATGAGAAAAATGATAGCGAAAATCATGTAAAGAGTATTTTTGATATAAGTTTCAAGAAGCATAACTTATATAGAGAACATAGATCATATAGGAAAAGTGAATGTGAAGAGAAATAGACTTTGTTTGCTTGGAGATAGTTAATGGAAAAATCGTTAACATATTCACACAATTTGAATTGTATATCCAAGTTTTTAATAGAGGAGGACAGAAAAATATAACTCATATGTAAACTATAAGAGAAATTGAGTTAATGACTTAATGCTGCTTAGGATCGCAATAGATTTTATGTTTAAATATTTTAATCAAAACAGATGAAAATTAAAATAAATAAATAATTCTAAAGTTTCGATTTTGTATTTTAAATATATATTTCAACAGTGTTGCAATTTTGCTGTCTATTTTTTAATAAAATCAATTTAACAAGTTTTAATTTTTATTATTATAAATCCACGTATACGCGGATCTTAATCTAATAATTGAATTATATTTGTAAATATTATGCTAACATTACATTTATGTAATGCGTTAAAACATTTTTATAATATATTAGAATTTTGATGAGATCAAAATACTTTCTTTGGTCTAATTATACAGTTCAATTAAATATTTATATTAAATTAAATAAAAGCTTATAATTTTGGATGTTACAGCTCCTTCCTTTCTCCAATCTTTGCTCTCGCTGACGACATTACTAACGTTCCAATTCCAAGATGGCATCGTTTCATCAACCACTTCAGATGGTGAGGTTTCGCTGATGCCATGGAGACCGGTGTGCGTGGCAAGGAACTCCTCTTTAGTCCAATCTGTGAATTCGTTGACACCAAGCTTGTAGCTGTGATTCCCATTGTTATTGAATTTCTCTATGAATTTCAAGTTTTTCTTGAACACTTGAAACCTCATCTGTTTTTCGGATTTATTGCTATAAACTCGAGAGAATTGTATCATCCACTGTTGGTGGTAATCAGCAATGGATGACTTGTGAAAAGTGACACGGGATGTGGCTTGAGAGATATAGTTAGAACTACGAACACATACAACACTACGAAGACCATTTTAATATTTGAGGGATACAATAAATAAAATTTAATGAAAAAATTGACGTTTACACAAAAACCAAAATGGTTATTGGTAGTGTAAATTGAGGGTTTGCTGTGGTGTGGTGAAGACGTGAGAAAGGGTACTTATAGAATGACGAATGAGAGTTGTTATTTTGGTAGTAATTGCAAGTTGACTCTATTGGGATGATGTTATAGTTTGCGCTACTTATAGTTTGCGTTGTTTATAGAATGAATGATGAGAGTTTTGGAACAATTGCAAGTTGACTCTATTGGGGTGTTTTATAGTTTGCGTTACTTGCTTCCCTATATTTTGAGGAACAGCTTTCCATTATTGTATGCATAACTGATATTTTCTTATTGATATATATATATATATATATTAATTTTAGGTTTATTCGTCTATAAAAATATTTGTATTTTCGATAATATATTTTGATGAAACTATCTTTTTATGGTATTAAATTAGTTTTTTTTTTTTTATATTATGATGATAGTTTTAAAAATTTATGAGCAATAGACTCGTATTTAACTTTTGAGAATAATTGAGAAACAATTTTTATGTGATTTGCAATTTCTTTCCAATTCTCTTTTATTCTGTCATTGTTTTTCCTATGTTTTATGTTTCAAGATTTGGGTTGTAACATGATTTGCATTATACTCATTATTGTACATATATAGGTTTTCTTGACAAATTTAATGGTTGTGGTTCTGCTCGTTTGGGCTTTATGTGTATACTGTATGCGTTTTTTATTTTATTTTTAATTACAGATTTTAAGAATCTCATGTATATCCATATGCTATTTTGAAATTTGTGTGTTTGATGAATAATGTTGTGATAATAATATATTTTTTAAAAATTAGAAAATCAATGATATCTAAACTTTTTAAATACCAAAGGATTTTGAATGAAATTTATTATATATGACAAAATCAATAACATTAATAGATTTGACTAAGAGTTTAAGAATTTATGAACCAATAACAGTTGATTTTTTTTTGAAATTGTTTCAAAACTAATTTACTTAGAAAATCAAAAATATATATTACATTATGAAATACATTTTAAATTAATAGAAAATAGTCAATAAAAATCTACGACAATCAATGACAATCCATATATTTTGACCAAAAATTCAATGACAATCCATATTTGATTTTTTTTAAAAATTATGACATATTTGTTAGATCCACTGAACTTTTCAGAGATAGAAGAATCACAAGGGCAGCAAATGATAAATTAGGTACTGTATTGGGGGAACATTCTTCACTGGTTTTGAGTTCAAAGAAGCTGTATATGCATTGAACATATAAATTCATAAATTAAACTCTATAATGTGTGGATAATTGAATATAAATCATCTAACAGAACTAGTCACACAATCGGATAACAAGGAAACTGAGCTATACCACACATGCCTTGAGGCCACTCCACATCTCTACGGAGTCTAATGTAACCATTCTCTCCCCAAGTCTTACCCCATGAGTTCTTAGCCAACCAATACTTGATCCCTTCGGGGCTCGTCCCGTACCCAACGAACGTCACTGCATGATTCACGTTGATCCCACAGTCAGGCGCATTGTACACTCCCCCTGCGTAATGGAAGAAACTCGCCGCCCTCGCTGCAATGCTCACCGATACAGGCTGTCTTGATACAGCTTCGAGCAACGCACGCTCGTTGTTGCTTGGAACGGCTTGAAACCCTCTAATCTGCATCATGACGGGTTTGGCTTTTGACCTGCAACCCCCCTCTTTAGCTCTGTAAGGGTATGCGTGTTCTGAAGAAATGCCACGATTTTGTGCTATGTAGTTGAAAGCTTCTCCCATTGTTCCCCACTTGCATTCATTGTTATGTGCTCTGTCGCAATCTACAAGCTGCTGTTCGGATAGTGATACGAGGTTTCCTCGGGCAATCTTTGACAGACCTTCCACCGCAGCAATCGCTGAGAACGCCCAACAAGCACCTGCCCATATATTTATTACTTTAATTATTGTTACGAAACGAATCTTGTGTTCCTAAACCTAAAATGATAACGCTAACTTGGGATTAAAGTTTTGTATGCAGAGTTCAGTTATAACATTACGACATTAAATTACTGATCCAGCCATTTACTTTCTCCGATCCGTAGAGAAAGTTTATAGTTTATAATTTTGAAAAGCTTACCACATCCTCCTTGCATTTTGACAGGTGTCACAGCCCCTTGTTTTCTCCAGTCTTTGCTCTGGCCGACAACATTACTGACGTTCCAATTCCAAGATGGCATCGTTTCATCAAACACTTCAGATGTTGAGGTTTCGTTTATGCCAATGAGACTGGTGTGGGTGACAAGGAACTCCTCTTCGGTCAAATCTGTGAATTCGTTGATACCAAGTTTGTAGCTTTGATTCGCCTTATTATTGAAGTTTTCTATGAACTGCAAGTTTTTCTTGAACACTTCAAGCCTCATCTGTTTCTCCGATTCATTGCTATAAACTCGAGAGAATTGTATCATCCATTGTTGGTGGTAATCAGCAATAGAGGACTCATTAAAAGTGACACGAGATGTGGCTTGAGAGATCGTTAACTCCATGGAAAGAATGGTTAGAACCACGAACAAATACGACATTACCAAAACCATATTGACTTTTGACGGGTATGATAAATGAAAATATATCTATGAATAAATTCACGTTTATAAAAAATGTATGAATTGAAATTTTTTTATATATTACTAAAACTCAATTTCTATACTTTATTATATATTAAAAAAATGTATTGTAGTTTATAGAGTGACGAATGAGTGATGAAGAAGTGAGAATGGGGTGGGGAAGGTCATTTATAGAGTGACGAATGAAAGTTGTTATGACTCTATTATAGTTTTCATTTGGTTTCTTCAAGATCTTTGCGTTTGACCCCCCCCCCCAAAAAAAAGATATTCTTCTAATTTTTGTTTTTTTAGTAAGAGCATCTCTAACCATTAAATATTTAAAGAGAATATTTAAAAGCATTTCCAACCATTAAATATTTAAAGAAAATATATAGTTAATATTATATTAATAAAAATTAAATTATATAATTAAATTAAAAATAAAAAAGTAAACTAATACTAAAATAATGAAAAGCTATTGAAGTGAAAAATTGAAAGACGTATCTTTTGTCTCTTTCCTTCTTTCTCATTATTTTTTATTTTATTTTAATATTAAAATACTTAAACTAGATACTTGATGAAGTATTTTCTATCATCACGATTTCATTTTCAAATACAAATTAATAAGATCTAGCAAATATGTAGCAGCAACCTTAATTAGGGTTTTGGATAATATTACATTTGCGTTAAATGTTAACTATGGGTGAAAATGTACTCGAAATGTCTCCATCGTTTAGTTTTAGAATATTAAATTAATTCGTTTTTTTTCAACAACCTCTTTTCCGGTTCAGAATATTAAATTAATTCAAACCCAAATAAACGTCATTTCAATTTTGTTTTGAAAGTCAAAGTATGCTTTGACTAGTGTTTTAGAGGAAACATACGTGAGAGATCTTACTGGATTCTCGGTCAAAGAAATAATAAAGAGAGATTTTACTGGATTCATACCAGAATCAATACAACAATAACACAAGTGTCTTTCCATGTGATGACACATTAATTTTTCCAAGCTTATATCTCATCAGCTTTTTCATGTTTTCTAAAGTACACCTCAGCAAAAAAAACATCAATCAAAATCTTTTATTAATACACATCATCTATTAATTTTTATTATTTTTAACTTAAACCTATTAAAAATCTAAATATATTTTTTTAATTTTTTGTTTTATTTTTTTGCCAAACCCAAGCCCAAATAATAAATAACAGCAAATAAAAAATAATTTATTTTTTACCATCCACAAATCTAAATAATAAATAACAACAAATAAAAAATTAAATCTTTCTTTTATATTTTTGCCAAACTAAAACTCAAATAATAAATAACAGCAAAAAAAATTAAAATTTCTAACTATGTATTTACTTGATAAATACGCGTATGATTGAAGAAAGTGTATACTCATCATCAACTATGATTCCATAACAACAACGCAAAAAGAGTTTTATTATAAGAAGCTCACCCATCAACAAAAATTTGAACCAGTAAAAACATAACAATAATACATATCATTAACACACTAATAAAATAAGCTTACTATTTTGCTGACCAATTAAAAAGCCCAAGTTTACAAAAAATGGAAGTGGAAATCAAATGAGGAGAAGCTCAGACCACCACAGCTTGGAGATTCGCATTTTCGGTGGTTATCGAGAACAAATTTTCCTGGATTTGGCAGGAATAGAGAATTTCTTGGTTTCGGTAGGAAAATATGATTTTCAGTTTGGTAGGAAAACATAATTTCTCGGTTATGGCGGAAAAAGCAAATTCTCAGGTTTGGCGGAAAAAATTTAAAATTTGGTTTTGGTTAGAATTTTTTTTTTGATTTTGACGCAAAAACAAAATATCGTAGTTTTGACGAGAAAATGCGAGGGAAATGCAACTTTTTAAATTTGACGAAAAATACGGTTTTTTGGTTTTGATAGGAAATGCAAATTTTTGGCTTTTGATGGATAATATGAGTTCTTGATTTTTGGGAAAAAATGTGAGTTCTTAGTTTTCGCGAAAAATTGTAATTTGACAATTTTGACGGAAAATGCAATTTTTCGGTTTGATGAAAAAACAAAATTTCTCGATTTTGGTGGGAATAAGAAATTTCTCAGTTTTCATGGGAAATGCAAATTTTCAGTTTTTGACATATAATGTGATTTTTTATTTTTCGCGGGAAAATGCAATTTCTTGGTTTTCGCAGGACACAATTTCTCAGGAGATAATGCAATTTTTGGTTTTTGCGGGGAATTGTAGTTTATGGGTTTTGGTAGGAAAGCGTGATTCTTGGTTTGACAAGAAAAATAATATCTTTTTTTTGTTTTGGCGGGAATAGACGATTTCTCGGTTTTTTGCGGAAAAATATTTTTTTTTGGTTTTGATGGGAAAATACGATTTTTTGGTTTTTGCAGGAAGATGAAATTTTTTGCTTTTGGTGAAAAAACTTGATTTCTCTGTTTTGGCGTGAAACACAGGTTATAGCGGAAAAATATGATTTTTTTTTTTGTTTTTGCGAGAGAATGCAATTTTTTGTTTTGGTGGGAAAATGAAATTTCAGGTTTGACGAAAAAATGATTTTTTTTTGGTTTTGGCGGGAATATGCGATTTTTCAGTTTCGTGGGAACATGATTTTTTTTTGTTTTGTCTGAAAATGCAATTTGTCGGTTTTTGTAAAAAGATAAAATTTTTCTGTGCTAAATTTTCACGTTACAATATGTTTACAGTAACCAAAATTGAACTATTTAACTTCAACTAAATTTATATTTCAACAGTTAAAACATAACTTTTTTTTTAGTTCTAAAGCAATAGCAATGGTTTTGATATGAATGTTATTGATTATAGTTTGCTAGTTTAGAAACATATGTTTCTAATAAATATTTGATAAATAAATAAATTTTATAATTCAAAATAATCATATTAATTATTAATTTTTTTAAATGGCAATTTCCTTTATATAATTTGAAAGAAGCAAATGCCTGGGCCGAGGCGCAAAAACAAGATATAACGGGTGAAGTCTCACCTCCACTTCAAAACGAGAGTTACTCCAGGGAGGGTATCCTCTGTTACACTGACGGGTCATGGAAAGAGGATGCCCCAAACACAGGGTTAGGCTGGTTTAGCAAAGATGTAAATCTGTCGTCTACATTAATGGGGGCTCGAAAATTGGGTAAGAGTTTGTCACCTCTACATACAGAGCTAGAGGCACTTATTTGGGCAATGCATTGTATGCTCGATGTTGGACGATACTCAGTGTCCTTTTTTACGGATAGTTTGGAATTACTGAAGATGGTGACGGACCCAGAAGGATGGCCAGCATTCTCACTACATCTAGAGGAATATGAAGTGACTAGACAGGAGTTTGCTCGTTTCTCCATCTCGAAGATCCCACGCGCGCAGAACACGAATGCGGACAAGTTAGCACGAAGTGCTAGAGATCACCCTTTCCATCTTTATTATGTAAACTCAACACCTCCTACATGGTTATCACCATTTTAGGATAATTGTTGAGTCTGTTGACAAAAAAAAAAAAAAGAAGGATCAAGTGGCAATTTAGTAGAGAAAATAAATTACATTTACCATTAGCATAAATATACTTAAAATATATTTTTTTATTCTTAAATATACATTTATAGATAGTTAGCTAAACAAATTTGATAGTAGATTATAATTTTGAAAAATAAAAAAATTGAGGATATAAAATGGTTATTCAGATTTAAAACATATAAATACATAACTGAAGCTAATAAAAAATAAATATAATACTCATTTACATTATAAAAATAATTTTATTATATTAAAAATATATACAAAATCTTCAAAAATATCCTGCAGCGTAGCGCAGATAAATACCTAGTATAATATAGTTGAATTTAGGGATAATTGGATAACTGGAAACAAACCCTCAAACTTAATTAATTTGTAAGATCAACCCTAACGTCAAAAAATGCAGGTCAATCTACTCATCTCAAAATTAACCCGCAATATAATCCTTCTCTATATTGCCTATGTGGATATTAATATTTTTGTTAATTTTGTTTTACACAAATCAAAACTACGTCGTTTTGATTAATAAAATAAATTTTATAATTTTAAATAATTGAGATTCGAACCCTCAAACTCTTGGTAAATAAAAATAAATCAGTGTTAAAAAAAATAAAAAAATAAAAACTCTTGGTAAATCAATCAAAATAATTTAGCAGTCGGGTTAAGTGATTTATTTGGTAAAATAAGAAACCGATACGATTATAAATGTTTCCTTAAAGTTTTTTTTTTTATATCAACCCTTAAAATTTTTTGACCCAAGTTTTTTGGACTGAATTTTGTCTTATTGTGAACTGTTAAAAATCGTGTTGTTTTTTGGAATTGTTAACAACACGTGCTTTTAACTGGTAATTGTTCAGTCTTCTTCCTTTGGCAAAATCAGGATAAATTTAATTTCGGGGGAAAATTAGGGTTCAACACTTAAAAAGGAAGAATATATCTATTTAGAGTTCATATTTTGCCAAATAAATGAGTCAGTCGAACAGAGGAAGTATTTCAATGATTACCTGAGAGGTTGTGGGTTCGAATCTCAAATTCTTAAAATTTTTAAACTGATTCAATTAATCAAAACGACGTAGTTTTGATTTTTATTTAAATTTTTTTAAAAAAAGTTAATATCTACATATGCAATATAGAAAAGGGATGCGGGTTACTTTTGTGTTTAGATTAACCTGCATTTTTTTGACGTTGGAGTTGATCTTGCAAAATTAATTTAGTTTGAGAATTTATTTGTAATTATCCCTTGAATTTAACTTAAAGAGCTTAAGACTAAGGGTAAAAATTCACCCCAATAACCAAATAAGACGAGTATGAAATAACTCAAAAATTGGAAAATCAGATAAGTTTTGCATTAGTAATTGTGTATACTTTAGAAAATGTAGGATACAGTTTTTTAAATCTAGTGTGATAACTTTTTTTTCACTTTCAAATTGGTGAACGTTTTTAGAAATGAGAATAACATTGGATTATTAGTTTACTTCAGTAATGTTTTTTTTATAAATATTATACATAGTACTATATATGGTAATGAATAATTGAAAAATAAGTGATG